AATAATAGGAAGCAGACTGTCCATGCATAACTTTAGAATTGGTGTAGGGATGGGATCTAACTCACACGACTTAGAGGCTGAGTTCATGATGAGTTTACGAACTTCAGTCTCTGAAGTTGGATAGAAACAGTACAAAGATGATCCTATAAATCCAATATCCGTATATAGAGCATCAATTTCTAAATATTTAGAAGCAGCAAGCTGGTCTCTGATGGTAGACATTTTCCCCATGAAAAAGCTCCCAAAGGTGTTTGCAAGTTCTTCTTTGTTGTCATGAGTGGGAAAAATAGGACCATGATTATTGCCCAAAAGATTATTTGTTATCCTATAAAGTTGTTTCTGTTCGCTTCCAATCTCTGTGATTTTTTCCGAATAGTATACCTTTCTTGCAGTCAGTAGTAATCTGGATGACTGGATTAATCTGGATTTAAAAAGTCCTTAATAAACTGTCAAGCCTGTTTTCCGCCTATAGCTAAGTCTCTCGGCTCGACATTTTTCGCGTTTTGCTAATCTAAGTTCATCAGTATACTAAGGAGTGTTTGGATGTGATGTAATAGACTTAGTTTGCTCAGGGGCATGTTGGTCCAAGATAGTGCGCAATTCTCGATTTTAGATATTCACTAGTTCTTCCACTGGCTAGTTCACATCATAGAGTATACGTAAGTCTAATGAAAACAGATCACTTCTAAATTCCGAAATATCAATGCCAAAGTTTCCGAAAGGTTATGGTTTTCCGTTCTTTTGAGGGTTTGGATATTTGTTATTGAACTGTTACGGCAAAGTGGTCATCTCCAGCATTGCCACTGTTATCACAAAGGACGGGATCTTGAATTGTAGGTAGACTATCAAGAATGTGATTTTATTCTTTGTGATGACTAAGTGCAGAGTGTGACTTCGGTTATGAGTGGCTCCTTTCACATGCTGTGACAAACCATGATCTTCCAGGACTCTCAGAAACTTCCTAGCCTCAATGTTGCTTGGATCATCTAAGTGGAAGTTAAAGTCACCGGTAATTATCCATTCGTCAGGAAGTATGACCAGATTGTCAAGGTAACTCGACCATTCCTCAAAATACACAGAATTTCAGAACCCATTAGCTTTAGATGCCGATGGACGGTAACTACAGAGAGACACAAGTAATTGTTCAATGAACTTACAGTACATTCCAAGTGCTCGAAATGAGTGAAATGAAAATCTGTAGTCTTTGGTTTGACGTTAATATGCTTTTTGTGGATAACTGCTAATCAACCTCCTCAGTGATCTTTCCTTGACTTTTGTAAAACATGATATCCCTCAGGTGAAAGTTCGGATAAATTGACGTTGTCAGTATCTCTACCAAGCCATGTCTCCGTAAGAGTTAGAAGGTCAATATCATTTGAGACAATATAATCATTCATTGCAGTTGTTTTGTTTACAGCAGATTTGCAATTCAGAGTAACAAGGGACATGCACCTATCACACACATGATTTTTTTTGTACTGGCCTCAAATTTGTTACATTCACATTCCTGACTGTGTTTTACCTTGACACCATTGATCGTTTTCTAATACAGGTGGATATATGACTTGGGTAATTTAAATCAGATTTATGGCTAAAAATAGTTATTAAGTTCTGAAAGTTTATTTGTCTTATAGATTTTTTAGTTGATTGAAGCTGTCTGTTGATTTTAACTGAAATTTTGTGCTGTTTCCTGGATCCTCCACGTGTACCCCTGTTCGTGCTGTATGTGCAGACCCATGTTCTGTAGTGTCTGCTTGAGGTCAGTTGGTATTGTTCCCTTGACACACATGCTGGTCAGCTCACTTCTTGAATAGGTTTTCATTGATGTAACGCCTGGCTGCACTCCAGTGGACTGTCTTTTTATGTCCCAAGAATAACACATATCTATTGTTTGATGTACATCCTTGAAATTCTCTCTGAATTAAGTATTTTAGAACACAAGTTATATTTCCATCTATACACTGAGCATCTCCTAAACACAATATGTAAGGGTTAATGTACGAGTAGCGCTCCATCCCTTAAAAGTAATGGAGCCGAGGCCCATTGCTTTTAAGGAATGGAGAGCTACGAGTATATTAACCCGCGTAAAATCCACCTTTTAATTGCCTGTAATCATTGTTTGTTAATATAAAATAAAGAATATTTATCCCATGTTTACCCCTTTATCCCGTGGATATGACTAATTGGATATTTTTTTTTTCCATAACCCACAGTCACAATGGTTTTTGCGTTAGCGCGATGAAGTAAAATAAAGTGGAGTCCTATATAAAACAGTGTAAAACATTGTTTGTGAAGTATTTAACATGGGATAAAAAGAATCTCCCATGATTTGTAGTTGGATATGACTTTTATCCAACTCGGTGTGTGTTTTTATCCCCTCGCCAAGGCTTGGGGATAAAACACACACAACTCGTTGGATAAAAGTCATATCCAACTACAAGTGATTGGAGATCCTATATTTATAAGATACACTGTTAATATACATTTAACATATAAGTAGTATTTATTTATATAGAGAAAGAAAATAAGGCGAAAATAGTGTACTGAAGTTATTTAAATCCACTGTCGTTCAACAGCTTCGATAGCGTAGACTGAGATGAGTACCTGACTCCAGAGGTCAAGTTACCGGGTTCGATTCTCAATAGTGCCACATTAATTTTTTTTATGTGAAGTTAACCTTGTTAAAATTGTCTTAGATCTTTCCTCCGTAGAGGTACGGAAAGGAGAATATGAACATAACAAATTCTGTTTTCAATGTAATTTGCAACTCTCCATTCCTGAAAAATAATGGAGCGCTAAAACAAAAGTATGACGTCACAGGTCGATTTTACCACAGAAGAATCTTGAAACTAGGATTATTTGTATCCAAAAAAGCCCTATACACGTGAGAGAGATTGCAGTGCTGGCAGCCAGTGAGGCGCTCAAGGGGTAAAGATTATATTGCAATCATTGAATTCTTTCATGAATAATTTGAATGAATTAATTCGTGGTTAAGTGCCATTTTTTTTTAATGCAGACGTAATAATTTATCAAAATATTTTTGGTCTTCAATGACTGTTATTTCAAAATCAATTTTCAGAAGAACAGCCGATCAGATTAAAGATTACATCCGAGCAGATTTATACACAAAGGGAAGCAGGGTAAAATAAACAGTGTACTGTATATCGACTTGTTAGACAATAGACCTTAAGTAGGTGTCCCCACCAGTCAGCTAACAATAAACTATACACAACGTACAGAGACAGATTTTGATGATCAATTATTTTTACAAAACTTAAGATCTAATGCAAGCACATAAGAAATTACAAATTATGATTGTACGTAAAAAGACGATTATTTTGATACCCATTATGATATAAAAAAAAAAAACTTAAAACTGAAGATGATATGATAACAAAAAATATTTATATTTTACGCAAAGATTGCCAATTATTTAGCACACAAAAAAAATGTAAATTTCTGCAGCATTTTTATAAGAACTATAATCTGTTTTTTCCATCTTACTCTTTCGAATATATATTTACTTTCTAATAACAAAACTGTGTTATATCTGTTGAATTTCAATCTTTTCACACTTATAAAACTGCGAATAACAGAGCGAGGATTCATAACATAAAACAAAAAGTTGTTTCTCACCGAAATCCACGGTTAAGAAATACAAACGTAATATAAAGTTTATATATATATATATATATATATATATATATATATATATATACATATATATATATATATATATATATATATATATATATATATATATATATATATATATATATATATATATATATATATATATATATATATTGGGGTGTGAGTGGGTGTGGGTGTACTTATTTATATTATTGATTAATAAATACAAACATTAAAAATAATACATCTACCAATCCAAAGAAACTTTGTTAAAAAATAAAAGTTTTACATTTTCCCCATTAATCAACAGCCTCGATAGCGTTTTCTTCCATTTTTTATTTTTCTTTCTTTTACATTATTTTTGCCAAATAAACAAATGTGTTAACTCCACATTTTTAATTTGCGGGAAGAAGTCATTATAGAAATAATATTTCACCCATAAAAGCAGTTTTATCGACAGGTGACTTCCTGGTGGCTTAAAGGTGGTTTAATGGAAGCTTAATTGAGTTTGGACATTAAGCACCTATAAGTTTGGCTTTATGGTGGCTTAATTGTGACTTAAAGATTGCCTAGAAGCTACCACTAAGCACATATAAGCCACTATTAAGCTACCTTTAAGCACCCATTAAGGACTTTGAGATGGAATTTTAACTGGACTAAATCAAAATAATATTACGTAAAGGTGCATTTGATGTCCTAGCTTTGACGGAGAGTAAACTGGACAACACAATAGAAAATTCAGATATCAATAAAGGTTACAGAATTGTGAGGAGAGACAGAAATCGAAATGGGGGAGGAATATAAGTTTACATAAGAGAAAAGTTTACTGTCACAAAAATTAAAATCATACATGATTTGGAAATGCTTGAATTTGTTATCTCTATTGGACAGTCTACTAAAACATCTTGTGCCATGTCCTATCGGCCACCAAATTCCACAGCGGATTGGTGAGAAGTTTGAGGAACGCGTTGAACAACTAACAGTGGAACACAAAAATATTATAGTTATGGGTGATTTTAATGTGAATGAATATAAGACGAAGCGTTTAAAGACTACAATGAAAAACCTTGGATTTTGGCAACTAATAAAAAGCGCCACTCGTGACACAAAAGAATCCAGTACTTTCATCGATCATATCTATGTAACTAGTCCTGATAAGTACTCTACTTCAGGAGTTTTACCAATAGGAATAAGTGACCAAAACATGATCTACACTGTAAATGGTAAAATTAAATCCGGTGCAAACAGTCATGTTCACATAAAATATAGAAATGCCTTTAAAAGAAAGAAGAATCAACTCGCAATCAGAAGAATGGATAAACGATGATATACTTACATAAATGAACTATCGTGAACACCTCTATAAAATGGCGGTACGCACCTATGATGACCATGATTCTCTACAGGGCATCGAAAAACAGGGTTGCGAGTAAGATCAGAGAAGCTTAGCATGCATTTGTCGTAGAAGCAATTACCCAGGCAGAAAACAAGCCCAAATACATGTGAGACAAACTTAAGCAGTTTTTACCATCTAAGAAAACTAGTACAACCTGTACATTTCTTAAGGACAATAACATACTTTTTAAAGATTCAAAAGATATTGCAGAATGTTTTAGCAATTATTTTTGTAACATTGGTCTCGACTTAGGAAAATGTTTTGATGACACTTTACCTACCGTCCAAAAACAAATGCCCCAAAATTCTTTTACAGTACCAAGTTTAACACTGAATTTGTTGCAAATGAGACAAAGCTTGTTTGTTTGTATGTTGTTTAACGTCCCTTCGAGAGTTTTTCACTCATGTGGAGACGCCATCACTTGCCGGTGGGGAGCTGCAAATTTTGTCCTATACTCGGCACTTACGGCCATTGAGCAGTGAGGGATCTTTTTCGTGCCAGCACCTACTGCGACACGGGACCTCGGTTTATACGGTCTCATCCGAAGGACCGGTCTCCACGTCCCACAGTGGGATTCGAACCCGCGACGTAAGGATCAACTCCTTACTCCGCGACTCTAGAGCAGACGTTCTAACCACTGCGCCACGCGGGCGACATGAGACAAAGCATATGTCTGTATCTAAAGCAATAGGTTTGCTTGGTATTTTGTCAAATTTTTAAAACTTTCCTCAAATAATGTATGTGATGTTCTACATATATTTTCAATTTTTCTTTATCTTCATGTAAATTTGCAGATGATTGGAAAAAAAACGTGTTGTACCACCTTTTAAATCAAGGGATGAATGTTTAGTTAACAACTATCGGCCTGTATCCATTTTACCCTGTGTCAGCAAAATTTTAGAGAGACACGTTTTTAATTCATTCTATGAGTATCTGTCGGTAAATTCCTTAATAACAGATGATTGTCAGTCTGGTTTTAGACCTAAACACTCATGTGAAAGTATCTTATTTCTGTATTAGATAGATGGCTAAAAAATATTGATGAAGGTAAACTTACGGATGTACTTTTCATAGATTTAAGGAAAGCATTTGACACTGTTGATCACAAGGTTTAATTACACAAACTTAAGCCCTTTGGTATATGTAATGATACTTTTGAAGGGTTTAAATCATATTTAACAAATCGTGTAAAGAGAGTTATTTGGAAAGGGGATCTATCAGATGAAAAGAATGTAACTATTGGGGTTCCACAAGGCTCTGTTTTAGGCCACTGTTTTTTGTTGTTTTTTTTTTTCTTATCCCGTACATTAATGACTATCCACAAGCACTGAAACACTCTCATGCAAATATGTATGCAGACGATACTTCACAAGATGTAACAGATAAGTCAGTAGAAAACAGAATCAAAGATGCGTGAAGACCTGAAACGCAGTATATGTTGGATTGAGCAAAATAAATCAACCATAAATTTGTCTAAAATTCAATGTACGCTTTATTGGAACAGTACAAAGATTATCAAAATGTCGAAAATTAAATTTAGTTGTAAATAACCATGTCATAGAATGTGTTCAGGAGTCAAAATAACTTGGTATTGTTATTGACGAAACTTTGTCCTGGTAAAGTCATATTGAAGCACTTGTATGCAAGATGTCCAAGAGAATTGGCATTTTAGGAAGAATAAGATATTTTATATCAAATGATGCATTGTTGAAGATTTTTAATACAATGATTTTTCCTCATTTTACATATTGTTGTACCATATGGGGCAATCCAAGAAATGCTGAAAATGTGAAAAAGCTTTTAATATTTCAAATTTTTCAAACACTATCTTCTGTCATGTTTGCACAACTTAACTGAATGCCTCTATCAGATTATTTTATCTATAGAAAAGTCATTTTAGTGTATAAGGTATTACATGGATTAATGCCAGATTACTTAAATGTCCTTAAATATGTATCTGAAATTAGCCAGAGGTAAACAAGAAATTCCAACTCAAATTTATTATATGTACCTAGGACAAAGACTGAGTATTATAAGAACTCTTTCAGTGTTTCAGGTAGCAATACGTGGAATACCTTGTGTGAAAACATCAGAAATTCAGCAAGTGTTGTATGTTTTTTGAGAAACTATCTTAGAGAATACCACCATACATTTTAATTTTGTTTTGTATTTATCTATTTTATATTTCACATTTATCTTATATGTTTTACTATTACCTGTCTGAATGTATGTTATATTGCAGGACCATATTGAAAACTAGCATTGTTGCCAAATTATGTCATCCTGGATAAATGAAGGCTTTATTATTATTGTTATTATTATTGTTATTATTATTATTATTATTATTATTATTATTATTATTATTATTATTATTATTATTATGGCTTAATGGTAACTTAAAGGGATGCAGGACACATGTCACGTGACACAATTGAATACGTCATAATCCCTATTACATAAGATGCTGAAACGTTATTAAAATCACCAGTAACCGAGTAATTTTTGTGCAAATTGTTGTGCTTTATCATCTTATAAGAAAATATTTTAAAGTTTTGAAATTCATATCAATCTTTACAAATTGTGAAAAAAGATTGATCCATTCCTCTGTTTCCCCTACACTGCGCGTCTAACAAGTCAGTAAGGTCATACATAATCTGTTAGTGCAGCAAGATCAAGTACACGTGATTACACGGTCGACTTCATTATACAAAACAGGTGATTGCTGGCCTATTATGAGGTATTAAGTGAAAAGGGAAACAAAATCAAAATCTTTTCTTAGATATTAGGAGAATTTTTTTGTTTGTATTTATTTCTTATATCGCTCGCAAAGGCTTTCGTTTGACGTCATAGTTGTTTTTCCCGTACTCGGAAAATATAAACATGCAGTGTTTTTATCACGATTACGTTGTGTAAAACGATGTCACGTGCAATATTGCTGTAAGCTACACCTTTCAATATTCCTACATTTAATTATTAAAATGAAGGACTTCAGTTAAGTCGTAAATTTCAAAATATGTATAGACAGAATTTTTTCACAAATGAGTTTTTTGTCGTTTAAGTTGTCTCGAAAAGTACGTAATTTATTCAATCCATTTGCAGTGCAGAATAAAAATCTTGCTTAGAGAACGTTCAACTCAATTCATATTGTAAAATATTTGAAGAAATGCATGTCCTCATGCATATCCTTTTATTTGTACTTGAAAATCCCTGCTATGGACTTGGTAATTGGCCCGTAAACATAAAGAATCAAAGCGGCATAAAGATACGGTACGGAGTAATATTTGTGATGCGATATCTCTTAAATAAATCAAGAAATCTGTTAAAGAACTGCTTTTATATACGAGGGTTGTTCGGAAAGTTCGTGGACTACGCCAATCTTCGTCATACTTTCTCTTCAAGAAATCTAAAATGAGCACATTATAATATGTAAAATATTTATTTTGTTTAAGTGTGAAGTTTCATTCCATGTGATTTAATAGAATTCATGTTATTTAAGTTTAAAAGCAACACGTTTTGTAACCACGGAGAAAATTCAACAACACTGTAACGCCAAAATCATACCAACATGAGGTTCTCAAAAGTACTATCGCTATACTTTTGACAAAGTATTGCTAAATACCAATGCACTCATTAAAAACGTTTCTTTATCACTTGAATCTATTTTGCTAACAACTGATTTGATTTTGTTTGTCGATGTTACATTTTTTTCACTTCTCTCTGCATAAGTGTGCTTTCACAAGATGCATCTGTGAAGCGCCAAACTCTTAGCATGACGTTACAAACGTTTCAATGTTTTTTGATAAGTTTTTTTTTACAGGTTACCCCTGGCCATCTCAGAAAAAATAGTATGCCTGCAATGGCATAAAAATAAAAATATCTTAGTCAATATTTACAAGCCTCTGCCCCCTTTTCGGAATAAAATGGTAATTTTCAAAAGACATTTATCTTTATCTAAAATTACATTTGCGTGTATTTAAAAACGTTAGAAAGAAAATTCTGAAATTACTTGTTTAAACATTTACCCTGTGCTTATAAGAAAAGCTTCTAAAATGAACTTTGAACAATAATTTTGATTCAATGTTTTTTTTTTTTTTTTCAAACGTCTGCGTTGAATTCTACCCACCTATTTCATTGTGATATATTCCATAATAAGCATTTCTTTAATTAAAAGTACATTTTTTCCTGTGTGTGTCACTATTACTAGCATAAATAGATATGTTTACTTGCGTACAAAATTGCATGGATGGAGAATAAGACGGAAGACCTCTCGTTGCTCGAAACGAGTATCTAGTTATTATTATTATCATTATTATTATTGTTGTTGTTGTTATCATTATTAAGGTTTTTTCGTCTTGTGCGGAAGACCTTCTTGTTATTCTTAGGTTTTTTTCCTTTTTGTATTATTATTATTAGGGTCTTACGAGTTTCCGCTTCGGAAGACCCTTCTGTTATTCTACTGTTTCTCCTTATTATTTTTTTTTTTCTCAACAAATTTTTGTCAGCCGATTTCTCGTAAATTTTTTGTCTGATTGTTATGAAACTTTCAGGATAGATACATTATCTTAAGGCCTAAGAACGTTTTTGTTTTTTTCATTTTTGATTTACGCCTCCCTTTATGAGTTTCTGCCCTTTAATTGATATTTGGAGGGTCTTTTGTCCGGGTGAGATCTCAGGAACTACGTAAGATAGTTGCATGAAAATTTTAAGAAAATGTACCTAACGTATCGTATATGTACTTGTGACCGGTGGGCAGGGGATGCTCATTCGTCCATGGCACCTGATCCCACCTCTGATGTTTCGGAGGTCCGTGTTTGCTCTGCTCCTATTTTGTATTGTTTAATGGACTTTTGAGCTTGGATACTGTTCGTCATCTCTATATATTTCATGTTATAATTATTGGCTAAACTTTTCAAATTTGTATGCTATTTGATAGCAAATTTTAAGATTTTTTTTTTCATGAAATTTTGTTGCTTTTTGTATAATAACTTTTAAACTAAAAATATTTTGTTAAAACATATAGAAGAAAAGTTGTCTGAAATCACAAGGGATTTCAGATAAAATCAAGAAAAAGGGGCTGGCCCCTATATTTAGGAGACAAAACGTCTTTTTTTTCCCAAATAGCTAAACATATTGACATTTGCTACATTTTTAATACTATCTAGCATACTAATTTATTTATTTGCAATAAAAAGAAAAGAACATCATGCTTTATTTAAAGCTATTTTACGAAATGAATTTTATGCAATAAAATATAACAAGTTGTCTACAAGCTAAAAATAGATAAAAACACTTACGTGTCTTCTCAGGACCTAAATGTATACAATAATTACTATATGACGACTTTCTATTATGCTGTGACTGAACTAAGGGGTTCTTTGGGGGGGGGGGTATTAATTAATTAGCGAAAATGAATTACTGCTTTAAAAATTCTGTGCTCTGAACCTGGGTATTAAGTAAACAAACTATGTATATAGTTATGATGACCAAAGGTGCCTCATCCAAAATTATGAAATGTGTAGCTCTAGGGTAAGGGTTTCGGGGGGGGGGGGGGGGCTCTATAAGGATTATAAAGTGAAAATGCAATACTTTTTTTGAAAATCTTCTCTGCTCCTGGGTATTCAGAAGACAAACAATGTAAAAAATTGTAATGAGTCTGGTATTTTTAGCAGAATTTTAAAATTCCGGACCACTTGGTCAAGAGTTATGGTGCTGGGCAGGGCTTTATTAATTGTACTATTCTACTAAAAGAATTCATCCACCTTTCTTATCCATCTATGATAATTGATCAATGTAAATTATGTAATTGAAAAGTCAGATGAACAAAAAATATATACAAAATATTTATGACATATAATACAGGAAGAACTTTCATAGTTTCTGATGCTCAGGTAGACTTGTGCATAAGTTTCTCTAAGCTTCATTTATCAGTTAATTTTGTTTTATACTTCTATATGAAGTATCTTAGGCTTCTTTTATTGTAGGAAAAACCGTTGATGTGAATGGATTTGACATAACATTGCTTCTGGCCCTACTTCGGAACTTCTCAAAAATATCTCCTCCATCGACGGGATGGACAACTCCCCCTGCAGTCACAGACAGTAGTGAAGGCGCGGATTTAGTGAGGATACGTCTGATACGAAACGCTCTGGCTCATAACGAAGACGGCAGGTTGTCTATTAACAAATTCAATGACCTTTGGAACTCAATTGAGATGGTAAGTTATGTGAAAAGAAAATATTGATTCCATCTTATTTTTAAACCATCCAAAAATACCAAAAAAAATATAATGAAGACAGACCTTCCAATGTTTGATAGTTGAAATTCTATTTTGAGTTGAATTTCTAATTTACCGTTAGGCGTATAAATGATAAATGACTTTGATATTTTGTTTCTTAATTACTCTTAGAAATTACTAAGAAAAAACATAGATTCTCAAAAACATAGTAATTTCCTAGTAAAATATACAAGATCAATTACAAAGTATGTTTTTTTGTTTATGATTTTCATTCTATCACATATAGACTGTTCACGGTAGCTCAGTCGGTAGAGCGCTCGCTTCGTGATCGGGAGGTCGTGAGTCTGAATCTCGGCCGCGACTGACCTAAGTCGATAAAAAATGGGTACCAACTGCTCCTTCGCAATGCGCTCGACACTTTGAAGTGAAAGTTTCAGGTCCTTCGGATGAGACCTTAAAAACCGAGCCCCCGTGTCACGGCAGGCGTTGGCACGATAAATATCCCTCACTGCTCAATGGCCCTGAGTGCCGAGTAAAGGTCAAAATTTGAAGCCATTCACCGGTATATGGTGGCGTCTTTATATGAGCGAAAAATTCTTGAATGGGACGTAAAACAACATACAATCAATCAATCAGTCTATCACATATATGTATAAACTGAGAAGTAAAACTATTTTCCTTTTATTATTAAGAAATTTTCGATGTTGAATGTAATGTTTTTGATATACGCGGAGAAATGTTTTGAACATAAATTTATCTCAATGGTAACCTTGAAATTTCCTTTATTTGTCAGTATGTGGTCTTTAAATAAACTTGTTTGCAATTGTAGGTTGCGTCAAGACTTGCAAGTTGTCAATTGGATAATGAAGTGAAAGCTTGTAAAAATATGACAATATGCGACCCTTTAAAATCCATTGCTCCGGTGATAAAACAATTATTTGGTATTGAAAAAGGCATAATTGATGGAATCCAAGACCGGAAACAAATATGGGATAAAATGTCAAATCTAAAATATTATATATCAAAAGCCATAGAGAAGGTTGAGCATATGGACGAAAGAATTATTCTACTAAGCTCAAAAGTAATGGAACATGAAGAAAAATTCTATAAAAAAATTCCAAATCATATTCAAGGTAAGAACTGCGAACGATAATATTGTTTTGCCGCCTACCTCCAAGTCAAATTTCAAAAGTTAACATATTTGAATGGTTTTTCAGATTTATGTAAATATTTATATGAATTTTCATAAAACATAACTTATTAGGGAAAACTAAGAGAGATAACTCTTTAATTTTGGTAAAAATTGAGTTTTTCACTATAGATACCAACGGAAAATATTTTTAACCCCCCCCCCCCCCCCCAGTGAAACGAAAATTCCTTTTTATGGGTTTTATGAATTGTTATTTGACAAATTCATGCCAATGCTTTTGTTGTTTCACGGGGGGTGGGGGAATATATGTTTATAGACAAAAAACTGCAAAAATGGTCATTTTATTTCCAATTTCAAATGAGATTACAAATAAAATAAGGTCTTTTATCAATCTTTTATGTTGAATTTTACACAGGTTAAACATGCGGAAAGTTTTAAGGGTAATTATTCCAATTCCATAGGTTTTTGAAAATCTAGCAATTTTTAAAGTCTGATTTCAATGAATAGAATGTTCAACCCCCCTTTTGAAAAGAGTCGTAAATAAGAGCAATTAAGTTTTTCATATTAGTTTTAAAATTATTAATCAATCAATAATGATCTCTTCTTTGAATTTAGTCAAGTTTTAATGGCTAAACTGCCATTTATATTGAATTAAATGGGTGTAAAATGTATTCGGGAATCGAGAGTTAGTGTGCGTGATTCTTTTAACTTATACATGTGGCCTATTACTTGTACTCCTTTAGAATGATGTTTAGATTGGAACATTTTTTTATCTTTTATACACAGAATATATCAACAAATCAATTCAAGACTGGGAAATGAAGGATAGGCACTTTATAGAAAACGGAGTATCAGAAAAGGTTTACTCCACGGTCAAATGTCAAATTTGTGTCATGATCACCGGTAACCAAGGTTCAGGTAAAACTGCTACACTTCGTCACGTAGTTTTACGACTTCGCAACGAAGGATATGACATTATTCCAGTGAAGCACCCAAGTGAAATAATGCTATACCATAATCCAGAAATTTGCCAGATATTCGCAATCGATAACGTACTTGGAGAAAAAGTACTCGATCGTCACCTGTGCGATGAGTGGTCAAGCAATGAATTTCAATTTTGGGTTAATGAAGTTCGCATTGCTGATACAAATTCAAAAAGATGTTCAATTGTTGTAACAAGTAGTTTAATTCTACATAACAAAAAAGCAGTCAAGCAAATCTCTTTATTAAATGAAAATGTTATTAACTTTAATGACTCACACTGTCGTCTTCAATATCACGAGAAAGTATCTATTTTATCTTCCAGAATAGGATTAATGGAAATTCAGTGTTCAAAAGAAATTATTGAAAAATGCGAAGATATTAATTTACTTCTCAATTCTGGACAATTACATGGAAGACCAATGCCTTCCATTCCTTTATTAGGATGTGATAAAGATGAGAGTTGTGATAAGACTTCCTGTTACCAATATTGTGCTCTTATTTCTTGTGCCATATTAGGAGAATCCTTCACATTACAGATTTTCAGTGCAAAAGGTTTTGAGGAAAAAAACGACTTTTTTGTGCTATTATTTCAATTGATGGGTTTAAAGGGAGGTAATGAAAAATCTATAATAAAAGAAACCATCAGTGAGTTATACGGGGTTTATATAAGTTGCGAAAATGAAAAAATCAGGCTTATAGACGGTAGAATAAAGATGCATTTAGTCCATGATTTCTGTTTCAAAAAGCAAGGTATAGAATTATTTGTAAAATACGCGGAGGTTTCTTTAATCAATTCTTTGATAAAACCCTCGGATTTCATATCAGAAGATTCCGCGGTAGAGTATCTCAATGTCATTGGACTTTCACAGGAACAGTTACCCTTCTTCATTCAGAGAGTTTGTAAAGAGCTTGAAAAAAATGACACCTTTGAGATTTTAAACCATCCAAGTTTTCCATCCAAATATCTGGAAAATTGTATTGCAATTCAAGGGGAATATATAAATTTTTTCCAGTTTGGATATATAAACAGGAAACCTACCATGATGTGTTATGATTTCACAAGGAAGTCCTTTTTGAGCGATCTTCGATGCCCACTAATTCTTTGGTTAATTGCATATGGATGGTTTGATTTATTTCAGACCGTAATGCAACATCAAGGTACCAGCAATGAAACTGACAAAGAGTTGATTTATAACAGTAAGGACATTTGTTACCTTTTATCATTGTTCAGTGGAAATATGAGGTTAATCAATTACATTGAAGAAAGTGAACGATTTCATTCTGAATATTGCCTTGTTTGTTGTTCACTAGTTAAGGATGACAACATGGTTGTGCACACAACCTCATGTCCATGTTTGATATTGCGTCCTATTTTTGTACCATGCTGCACTGGAAACGTAACTTTGCTGAAAGCTTTATTGAAAGAACAGAAATATTCCGAGGCAATTTCCAATCCATTTATTCCAGAAAGTCATAGAAAAAAAGATCTGTGTTCGCCCGTTCTATGTCTAGCAAGTGGCTATGGTCACTGTGAAATAATTACTATGTTACTTTCTCAACATCGAATACCAAAAAATCAATGTGACATTTATGGTAGATCTCCATTATGGCATGCCTGTTCTCAAGGTCATTTTCAGGCAGCTTCATTACTTTTGAAAAACAGTTTATTTGGTATCGACACATGGGATAATTTTGGAGTTTCACCTTTACTTAAATCATGCAGAAAAGCTTTTTATAAAATAGTTTCAGTATTGTTATCCTACGGTGCGGATGTTAACATTGAACCACATTCAAACTCCTACAAAAATATTGAAAGAACCCAAGAAACACCCCTTTATGCTGCTGCAGCTTCTGGAAATTTTGAAATTGTTAGTCTATTGCTCTCATATAATGCAGATGTAGACAAAAGCATCCAATCAGGAGAGACTCCTCTTTCTATTGCATGTGTCAAAGGATATGCAGATGTTGTCTCTTTATTACTTAGTCATAAAGCATCTTTAAGAAGTAAGCATGACTACACAAGATCGCCATTTTATATTTCAGTGCTGAATGAACAAGTTTCAGTATTATCAACGCTATTATCTTACGACAGTTACCCGGACTGTGCTAAGGAGCATTCATTAAGGCTTGCTTGTTCATCCGGAATGAAAGAGGCTGTAATACTTTTGCTGTCAAATGGTACAAGTGTTAATAATACCCCTAAAGGTTATGATTCGCCATTAGAGGTAGCGATTAAGAATTCCCACTACAGTATTATGTCAATTCTACTGTCAAATGGTGCTTATGTCGATAATTGTGATGATTTTGGAAGAACGCATTTGTTACGAGCGTGTGCTGAAGAGGACATAAAGTCAGTGAAAATACTTTTAGAACACAGAGCAAGCTGTTTAAAATCGGATAATAAAGGTAGGACACCTTTATTAGTTGCCGTGGAGAAAAAAAATTTAAGCATTGTGAAATTACTAGCCGAAGAAAAAACGGTGAATATTGTCGATGCTGATTCAATAAGTCCCTTGTGGATAGCAGTTCATAGTCAGGACAGCTCACTTACAGCCCTATTAGTATCAGTTGGAGCATCTGTCAATTACAAACCCCGATCTAAACCTTCAATACTATTATTAGCAGCTGAGACTGGAAATATGGAAATTATGTCTATCTTGGTAGCTAATGGAGCTAACGTTGATTTTGGAGATGAAGATACAACACCGCTGATTGTTAGTATCAGAAAAAACCATAGCCTCATAAATTTACTTATTTCGAATGATGCATTAATAAACAAAACAGACTTCCGAAATAGATCACCGGTTTTGATAGCAACCATGGAAAGAAACTTTGACATTGTTAAAACATTGGTAAAATATGGTGCTGATGTTAATATTATAGACAGATATGGAAAGTCGCCTTTAAGTGTTGCGGCAACTAATAACGATTACAAAACTGTGCAATACCTTCTCAAAAACAAGGCAAGTGTAGATATGTTTGATAGCAAAGGTTACACACCTTTGTGTATCGCAAGTGACAGAGGATTTACTGATCTTGTGCACCTTTTTGTATCATATAATTCAAATGTAAACCATGTAACAGATGACATCATGACCCCGCTTTTCTTGTCATGCACTGCAGGCCATAGTAGTATAGTTTCAATACTGTTACAAAACGGAGCTTCCACAAATGAACGTGGGAGATTTAAAGATTCTGCTTTCTTGACAGCATGCCGCCATGGTCATGTTGAAATTGTAAAATTGCTCCTAAGATATTTAGATGATGATATAAATCAATGCAACGTTTACCATACCAAAAAGAGTCCCATCGCAGAGGCTTGTGCCTATAGCAAAATTGAGGTTGTATCTACATTAATAGATCATGGAGCAACTGTGATGCCCGATTTGTATGAAAGGATTCTCGAATTATCTATAGGAAAAGATTGTGAGAAAATTACATCATACATTTTGACGACTGTTGTTGATGTTGATATGTATTTAAACCAAAAAAATACTTTACTGACATATGCTATTGAGTGCAATGCTGAAAAATCTGTTTCAGTATTAATTGAATATGGGGCTTCAATAGAAAAAGCGAATTCCTTGGGCCAGTTTCCTCTTCTCATAGCAAGTACGCTTGGATATGTAAAAATAGTAGAACAGCTATTGCATAGTGGTGCATCTATTGATAAAATAACCTCTAAAGGATCTGCAGCACTACTCATTTCAAGTGAAAAGGGATTTTTTGAAATCGTAACTTTATTCTTAAATTTCAAAGCAAATATAGCTATATGTAACAACTATGGCAGGTCAGCTTTATGGCTAGCAGCATCAAAAGGTCATGACGAAATTGTCTCATTATTACTTTCAATTGGTGCAAATCCAGAAAGTTGTGATAATAACGAAGTGAGTCCTCTTTTAATTGCTACGGAAAAACAACATATTCAGACTGTTTCTGTTTTACTTAATTATGGTGCAGATGTGAATAAAGCTGACAGAGACAAAAGGAATCCATTATATATAGCAGTTAAAAATTTAAGTATTGAATTAATGCTACTCTTTTTAAGTCATAGAGCCGACATGTATAGCTGTAACAGGAAAGATTTTACACCAGTGTGGACGGCATGTTCTGAGGGGAACGATAACCTGGTCTTGTTGCTTTTGTTACACAAGGGAAACACCAACGAAAGAGTTCGATTTGATGGAAAGGACGTCTTTATGTGCAACGGAATAACAGATAATGATTCGAGTCCTCTAATTGTATCCTGTGAGAAGGGGGGTAGATGTAAGGACCCTGAGAACAAAAAACGTTTCTTAAAAATAATTCAATATCTACTTTCATTTGGTGCAAATGTGAATGAAAGCGACAGTTTAAAAGAGACACCATTAATGAAAACATGTCGGTTAAGATTTATCGAAGCAGTGCAATTAATGCTTTCTCATGCTCCTAACATTCCAAAGTTCAAAAAAGGTGGCAATGTAAAATTCAAAGGGTCCCAGGGTGTTAACAATTACACCTTAAAATATGGCACAGATGTGCATAAACGTAATGTTGACGGCGAAAATGCTCTTTTTATTGCCTGTGAAGGAGACGAAAAAAGGATTCATAATGAAAAAAACAAAGATAATTGCATGAAGATCGTTAGTTATTTGTTATTCCTTGATGTATCAGTGAACGCCAGAAACAATAAAGGTGAAACGCCATTATTCAAAGCTGTTCAACATGGATTGTTTACTGTAGTACAGAAAATCCTGTCAAAAAATGCCAACATTCATACGAGCGATAATTTAGGAAGAACTCCTCTTTGGATTGCTAGTTCATATGGGTATAATATTATAGTTTCATTGTTAATATCACATCAGGCGGATCCAAATGCTCCTTCAAAAACTGACAAAACGCCTTTATTTATAGCTTGTAAAAATGGTCATATAAAAGTAGTTTCCCTTCTTCTGGCTAATAATGTAAAAGTGAATATTCCGGATGAAAATGGATTGACACCTATGTTTGCGGCCTGCACATTTGGGCACGCTGATATAGTTTCTTTACTTCTGGAGAACAAAGCATCCCTGTTAGATGTTAACAATGACAAAGATTCTCTGTTGAATAAGGCATGTGAAGAAGACCATTTTGATGTGATACAATTATTAATTATGGTTGGAGTTTCTGTAAATCAACCGAATTCAAGAAATGAGACTCCTTTATGGAATGCAAGTAAAACAGGAAATGGCCAAATAGTTGCAATACTCCTCACCAATGGAGCACAGGTCGAAACTCCTGATTTGAAAGGAAGGACACCCCTTTGGATATCTTGTAGCGAGGGACATGTAGAAGTTGTCGCACAGTTGCTTTTTTATAATGCTTCTCCAGTGCGTCCGGATATAGAAGGAGTATCACCTTTTTCTCTTGTGATGCAGAAAAAAATATTCTCAGTTTTACCGGTTCTTTTAACAACAATGATGAATGTAGTCAATCTAGATAGTATTCTAGAAAAAGGTATTTTCATGGAACACATCCATACTTTCAAACTTGTATCTTTATTGATTAATTTTGGTGTCTCGGTCAATATATCTGACAAATGGAACAGAACAGCACTTTACCATGCATGCGGCAAAGGTATTGTAAGATCAGTATCATTTTTACTGGACAACAACGCAAATCCTGATGAATACGATATTTTAAAAAGACCACCTTTATGGATTGCCAGTGAAAATGGGAACTCTGAGATTGTAGGCTTGCTTCTTCGTCACAAAGCTTCCGTAAACATTAAAGACACATCAGGAGAAACACCACTTTTTGCTGCTTGTAAGGTCGGATGTGATTCTGTTGTTCGACAACTTTTCAATAAAGGTGCGTCTCTCAATTATACAAATATCAATTCAGAATCCCCACTCTATATAGCATGTCTACACGGACATTTATGCGTTGTACAAGAGTTATTGTGTCTCGGGGCAGATATAAATTCCGGAGGCATCAGTGCTGGCTATTCACCTTTACACATTGCATGTAAAAAAGGGCATACAGACATTGCAGAACATTTGATCAAAAATGGAGCTTTGGTCAACTCTACAGATGTCAATGGAGACCTGCCTATACATATCGCTTGTAAAAATGGACTTTGCGATATTGTGGAGTCACTGTTAGTGCACGAGTCTTTAGTCAACAAAGGGAATAATTTGTCTCAATATCCTATTCATCTTGTATGTTACAATGATAATCCGGATATCTTATCAATGCTGATAAGATATAAAAGCTGTATCAACATACAAGATGACCAACAACAAATACCACTACATATTGCTTGTCGATATGGAGCTAATAATATTGTTAAAGTTTTGCTTCAACATAAAGCAGACGTAAATGCAAGTGATATATTACATTTAACGCCAATCCTTACAGCTTGTTCCTATGGACATTATGAAACAACGTCCATATTAATTGCATACGGATCATCCTTAATCAACGAAAACAGCAAGAATGCCTTGTTTTTGGCTTGTGAGAAGGGTAATCACAAAATTGTACATGAATTGCTTTCGAACATTGATTCCAGAGACCCCCTTTATGGACATCTGATCGATAGTGCCTGTATTGCATGCAAACATGGCCATGAAAAGATCGTGTTTTTGTTTATCTCAAAGGCAAATTTATTTGACAAATTTGACGAATTTATCAAGACTCTCTTTCTTATTGCATGCAGCAATGCACAGCCAACTATAATATCGCTACTTGTTTCACATGGAGCAACCGTTGATTCAAAGTATGATGTAGGTAAAACCCCTTTGATGATTGCAAGCAGTAAAGGATATGAAAATATAGTTTTATTACTTTTACGTTATGGTGCTTCGATTAATATAAAAGACGAACACGAAAATAATGCATTAATTGATGCCTGTCTCGGTGGACATCACACAACTGTTCAAGTACTTCTTAGAAAAGGGATGCTAAGAAATATCAACGAAAATAATGAAAAAGGCGAAACACCCTTGATGATAGCTTGCGTAATGGGACATTATGAAGTTGTGTCTGTTCTCTTATCTCATGGTGCTTTGGTGCATCTTACCGACACAAATAGAAAAACAGCCTTGCATTATGCTTGCAGCAGCATGGATGAACAGCCTGAAATTGTTACAAAGTTACTTAGACACGGTGTAAGTGTAAACTCTTTGGACAAGGACGGATATACACCACTCCATATTTGCTGCGAAAAAAATCATGAAGAAACAATAGATATATTACTTTCACACAAGGCATCTGTCACAATACACAATAGATATGATGAAACACCCGAGATACTAGCTTATCGACATGGATTTGAACACATTTCTGAAAAGATTCGGGATAAGAGAGTAGCTTCGTCGAGCTAACAATGAAAACAAACTTCATTTGTTGCATTAAAATTTTTATTGATGTGTATGTGATTTCTGCATCAACTCCTTGTTCATATAGCTACTGGGAACTTTTTAATCTAGTTTGTTCTTTGTATTATCTTTGGTGTCTGTAGATGAAGTGCGAGCAATACTAAACAGAATAGCTTTGGTTTCTAGCATTTACGTTAAAAGCATTCTACCGATTTCTTCAAATACCAATCAGGGAAAGCTCTTTTCATTAAACTAAAAGAATCACAGAGAAAGTTTAACTTTTAGTTAATATTCTTTACACTACAAATAACTCTTCTTTCTGTCAATCATGCCATTTTTATTTAACAAAATATTAGCATTTACAGATGGTTTTTCTGATCTTGACACATTGTACATGTATTAAAAGTATGAAGCATAATGTACAAATTGCGTCAAGAATTCAGGAATTTATGTATATTTTTTTTAAATTTGCTACAAGGGTCCTGTACAGTTTTTGATCCACTTCACCATTTTGTAAAAATTATATATTTATTGTATGTGCGTTTGTTATAAAATTGAACTTTTACGATCATTTATTATTTTCTGTGTTTTTTATTGCAAAATATGAATCATACCTTTAACTATGAATCTTAAATATGAATCAGATAAATGGCTTTGATTGGATATTATCACAGAACATACTACCTTTCATATATTTAAAAATAGAAAAAAAAAATTACAGAAAATACGTTTATGTCCACATGTACCCCCAAATACCTAATTCCATTTCTGGAGTCTCCAGATGTCCTGGCTTTAAACCTTTTGTAAAAATGTACATTGTTTATACGATTTTGAGACCAATAATCGTTCGTTTTCTGCATCCTTTTTTCTAACATTCTCTCCATTAATGTCTGAAAATTGTACTGTGATACGCCAATGTCTGTGTATAATTTCACCATTTAAGGAGTACTTTTTATAGTGGCAAACCAATTGCTTGAGAATGTCTTTTCAAGTGCTATAACGCTTGTCGAGAATTTACGATATTTTCCTTTTATTACTCTATAATTGCATATTATTTCAATCTCATTGTGATAGAGATTCATCAGTTTTTGTTTGAACTTACAAGTTTTAAAAATAAAACTCCATGTTTTTTTTTCTCCTATCTTGTTCTCTTGGCAACAAAAAAAATATTAATTTCCTAGGGAATCTTGATATGGCCATGTATATAGTTCACTACTGTGCTATCAAGGTTAATCGATGGCCCAATGACGCAGTTATGCGATCAAGATGTGAAAACGATTACGAGATGGCCTGATGAGAATGAATACATTGTCATCGATAATGCAAAGAAGATGGCTCGATGGCACGATAAAGCGATAGCAAGATGAGTCTTCGATACGTTAACGATGACGTAATGGTGCTTTGGAGATGGGGCGATGGTATAAAGACGATTAAGCTTGCTATCCCTGTATTGCACCATCAGTATAACATAATCGTCATCACGGTATCAAATCGTTGCATCGTTATTGCTGCATTGCGATTCCATTTTCTCACTATTGAACAAAACATTGATGCACTATTGATCGACAGTGAACTACGTTGCCATATTTGGATTCCATAGTTACCTATAGCTGACCGATCAGTTATCTTATGAACATGAAATCTGGGCACGGCTGTGTAAATAACTGTTGCAACATCGCACAAAAACCAGTATTAAATGGTGTGATGACGTGTTGATGCAATGACAAAGACACTACATTGTGATGAAAATGATGCACTTGGCAAAAAAAGCAACAAAGCACAACGGCGTAATTATGCGATGGAGATGATAACGAATAATGTTTTTATTCGTCTGCGAACTAGTGCACCATTCTCTTAATACTGTGGAGTGATGGCGATCGTATGATTACTAAATCTGTCCTACTATTGCTCAATTGCACTATCAAAAGGCATAATTTCCTTAAAAAACACCCCCACCCCCAACGCCATTTACATTACATTTTTTTTTTTAAATTGCCACTAACTAATATTTTGAAATGTGACTATGAACTTGCTAAAATGACCTTGTGTGCAGGTTATTAGTCCAATTCTTGACTCACAAATACTCTTTGTTTGAAATATCATCTTCCAATGCTTAACTTTTAAAGTGTAAAGAACTAAACACAAATCTTATACTTTTTATGATTAGTGGCATTGAGCTTGCTAGTATTTGGTCAAATTCATGACAAATCAATTATTGTGTCAGTGTACATTTGAACAGTAATCACAATTTACAAACAAAATCGCGACTTTCTGTCGAAGCCGCTGCAGAATGATCAGCTTTCTATTTAAGTCGTAGTCTATCATTATAGAGGAAAAAATTTCGTTCCAAAGTATAACGATTGCTGTTTGATTAAACTGAGAGCACCTCATTCTGAAACCATGGTCATTCAGTCGCTTATTTGCATTATAAATGCGTAAAGATTATAAAAGGGTTTTTTTTTTATAAAACAAAAGATCATCGATCATCTGACGGTCTTGAAACATATATTGAACCAAAAAAGATAATTCAATTAGTAACTTTCAAAATACACGTGTCGTGGCAGGAATTTAGTTTATCAAGACTTCTTTCGATGAAGATACATTGGAATTTGAATTAACAAGAATGAAATATGAAGACAACGAACAGTATTCAATCTCGAAAGTCCATTGAAACGATACAGATTTCGAGCAGAGCAAATATGGACCTCAATATTTAGAGGTTGGATCAGATGCCATGGAGGAGTGAGCTTTCACTGCTGACTGGTCACTGGTCACACCAGCCGTTTGCTCCTTGTCATAATCGGGGAAAAAAAGAAACGAAAAATCCGTAGACAGTTCAGTGTATAAATAATGGTCTAACAATTAGTAAAAAAAAACATCAGTCAGCATTGACTCAATGATAGGTTTTATGTGCTGATAAGGTCATTGTATCAACCGCTAAACTTGCGAAATGATGACTTCAAACGAGACTGTTAATATCCTTGTTTCATCAACTTGTTTGTCAATAGCTTGCCTCGTTTTAGAAATTTTTCATACGTAGATCATGCTCTTGCGTATCGAATCAACTGAGAGACATAAACACAATATGCAGGTGATAAGAGCATTTGCTACATAAGTAAAGGACGTTGACGATTGAAAAGAAATCATTACGTTTATCATAAAGCTGTGTTGTTAGGTAACAATTAACTTTTTTTTTTTCCTCGTAAAATATCTAGAAATGAAACAAATGTGTCCGAATCTGTGGTATATTTAATGTCAAGCTCACTGGGATATATCGAGTCGACATATGAACGAAAGTAACTATTGTTAATTGATAATACGTCGTCGATATTTCGAAATGACGAGCTGAAGGCCACAGCAAGTGTTTTCTTCCTCTCATGTAGAAGTTTTGAATAAATTCTGCTTCATATGATTACAAAAATAGGTCTGCTAATAACACGGTGCAATTGGTACCCATTGGAATTCCAACAGATTTTTGGAAGACCTGATCTCCAAAAACTAAATAGATACGCAGTACAGTTAAGGTGCCAAATGGAAATATCGGCGATTTTTTTTAGGTAGAAAATACATACTTTACAAGGATGGGCGATTCTTTTTAGTACTTTACTATTATCGGACAAATGTAATGTGGTTGAAAACTACATGTTGAGGACGGTTAGATTTCTTATTTAGACTTGTCACGTTATGTAGCAGTCACGTGATTTTAGCAAATATATCTGCAGTATTAAGGTCATCTATAAATTCCAATATTGCAAGGGTATAACCAAGTAAAAATTAGAGGTCTTTCCACCTTCTTTATTTTTTTTTTCATATTTACCTTTTATAATTTACTTTCAAATAAAAAGAAACTAGAAATGGTTTCAAAGTTTAGAAAAATGAAAAAAAAATTCTAAAAATTAAGTGACCTTGACCTTTGATCTTGAACAAATCTTCAAGGTCAAAGGTCAAGAGTCACATTGCAATTGGTCTCATGTTTCTACGACTTTTAGTTTTAAAGTTATAAGGTTTAATAGTATACACAAAGACGTTAAAGGGCGATAACTCATAGAAGGGGTCATCGGATACTTTCGCACTAAATAGATTAAAGTTGTATCTAAAGACCCAGAAGACATTAGTGATGGTTTGATGTCTCTACGGTCTACGGTTTAAGAGATCCATTCGCACTGAATAGATTTAAGTTGTGTCTAAAGACCCTGAAGACATTAGTGAAGGTTTGATGTCTCTACTGTCTATGGTTTCCAAGGAGTAGCGATAACAATGTTTTTCGCACAAGGGCAATAACTTTCAAAGGGGATAAGCTTAGAGGACAAGAATTAAATTTTTGAAATATATTTAAGAGTACATATTAAGGATGCAAAGACAGATAGTATATGTTGAAAGACAAAAGAGCTGCAAAAAGAGCTTAATTTCTCATTTTTGGAATGACCTTGACCTTTGCATATATTTTAAGGTCAAAGGTCAATGAATCTTATGCAGTTGGTCCCATGTCTCTATGACTTATCATTTTGAAAATTTTTAATTATTCGTAACTTCAAAAACTTTCAGGGGCAATAACTCATAAAAGGGGTCGAAGAATACTTTCGCAATGAAAAGATTGAAGAATCCCCTCAATAAGTCGAAGATATTAGTGAAGGTTTTGTACCTCTACGGTTTAGGGTTTCGAAGGAGTAGCGATAACAAGGTTTTTCGTACAAGGGGCAAGAACTCCGAAAGGGGTCATAGGTCATACTCTTTGGGTAGTTTTTCGAAATAACTTTTGATGTTGAGTATCATGAACTATAAAGTTTTTCGATAAGTCTTTCGGTTCAAAAGGCCGTAGCGAAAAAATAACAATAATAATAATAATAATATTAATAATAAACAAAAGCATTTCAAGAGGTCTTTCCAAAGAAAGGTGGAAAGACCTTATAACTAGTAGACTAATTGTTCTCGAACAATTAGAGGTCTTTCCATCTTCTTTGAATTTCATATATTCTTCATATTTAACTCTCTACTGTTTATCTTTA